AAAATCTTTATTGTGATAAACGGGTCTTACTTCGCGAAGTGCATCAAGTAGTGTGAGCACCTTGATTAAAAACATGGACAGATTTGGAAAATATCTGTTGACGCCGAGTCGGCGATGCTGTTCAAATCCTGCAATCGACCAAATGTGCACGGTAGTTTATGAACCGGATGTCGATTTCGTTACGCCATTTTGATTAGACTATGCATAGACTCGTTAGTCCAGCCAAATCATAACTCCATACTGCCAGCATAGTTCGGCAGAGGTTGAACATATGACAGGCATTGAAAGCATACTTGGTAAGCTAAATGAGGTGGGCATCCATAAAGAAAACAAAGCAAGCTTTGCAAGGCTTTCTCTCTCCATCGCGTGTCACCATTATGACGTCATATCGCTCATTGTGGCGCAAAAGATATGACGTCACAGTCGTATATAGAAAAGCGCCAAAATTCCAAGCTCTCTGTTGTCTCCGTAACGTAAAAACATTCCCTTTGTAGATTTCTATCATGTTTTCTGCACGAAATGTATTGCCACACATCCCTTGAATATTGTAGTAACCGCATCTGTGCATTTTGTAACCTGTAATTGTAGATTACAGATATACAGATAATTGTAGATATAATTATTTTAACATGCCTACCGACAAGGACTGAAAATAGTACTATTCTATGAATATTAGCTTCCGCGTTGATGCGGCCATTAAACCAGCTGTTTCAATCAGATGGGGTTTAATATGATTTAATAGCCTCTGATTGACCAATTAGAATCGAGTAAATTCAAAATTCATGGTTTAAGCAGTAGATTACTTCACTATGTGTTACCCTAATGTGTGAGGACATCCCAAAGCACAGGTTCATGACATTTACCCCTGACCAGCAAATCCTACCAGGACTAAGGGACTCAACTCTGCACAAATTGGAATGCTTTAGATGCCCCGTCACTCGTCCAAAGTGTTCCATGAGTACAATGTTTATGATAAGATATATCTCTTAACATCCAAATACATTAATCATTCATTCAATGTCACCACAATGCCAACATTCCAAACATAGATACTCTACATTATCAGATGTATGACTATATATCATGATGTCTACATGATTACCTTGATCTGATCATGCAACATTTCCACAATGACATTATCTGATATTGTCACATCAGGAAATATACTGACATTACTCTCAGTAATCATCTGCAATTAATTTGGCCAAGTGGCAGTTCAAAGAAGTGACAATATTTCCTTTCAAAACACACTACAGTGAACTTTGTCTCAACCTGAATTTGAATGGAATGAAAGTTTACCTTGTTTCAGACATTAGATGTGGATTAGTGAGGTTAGAGCAGTATTTACATGTCTTTCCTGACAGGAATGAAAGTATGTGTACAACGTTTCAGTCATTTAAAAAGTCTGTTTTCTTTACCTTCAATGTTTTCACAAAGCTAAAAGAAGTATACTGATGCACATTTTATATGGAGAGACTATTTTAAGTGTTGTCACATTTAGCTTTGTGATAATTTAGGATGGACATTTGGGATCCTGGACTTGATCAGGTAGTGACCGAGATCTGGATCGGCTTCCTTGTTTTGAAAGGTTCCGCTGTTTGCAAAAGGTCTTGACCTAAACATGGACACTGTTCATAATATCAACCACAGATTTGTCCCGTTCAGAGTCAATCATACACAAACCGCTGTTAAATAATGAAATATTGCAGAATCAAACAATCAAACAAACCAAATATGCATATCAGATTAGGATACACTGCCCTACATGTAGCATTCCTGTGGCATGATGTTTAAGGTCACGTGTAGTCCGTGCTGCGTTAAGGTCAGGGTCAAGTTTGTCCGACAAAATGAATACAAGAAATTTCTAAATTACTTACACATTCCTTGGTTCTAATATTTTTCTTGATTGACTAGTCATGCATTTTGACCCTCCAAAGCAAAAACAATCTTAACAGCATGATCTTTCTTAGACAGCTGAATACAAGCTTATGCATTAACATAAACGAAATTGTACAAACTATACACAAACTGCAACCCTGACAAGACCGACCTTACGAACACTGCACACTCTGTAGCAGGTTACGTAAATTTGGAAAAACAATAAGATATCTGAAATGTTAATTTTATCCTAAATTATTTTCCAGCCACCAGCCAAGCCAACATGGGCACCTAAATACTGAAAACATAGAAACAGTGAGTGAGTGATTATGGTTTTATGCAATATTCCAGCAAAATTATGGCAGGGGACAGCTTAATTAAGCTTCACACATTCTACCCATATGGGGAAGCAAACAAATAAATTACTGATTCCAACATTTGCAACAAAAACAAGTTCGAATGACATTACTTTAATGCACATGTAAACAATCTTAACAATAATATTCGGCCAAAATAAGTAACATTCAACCATAGTGAGAGGAATGTCAATGGATGGCCATTTCTAAAATCGCACTTTTCGGAACAGGGCTCAAGGATAAGCTGTTGCAGCGTATTGGCCCAGGGTATTCATAACAGAAGGGAGACATTACACACTGGGCAATCGTGGATGGGAAAAGGGCAATCCTGCAGTCGTATGGAAAATGTTCAGTGTGCAGGAAAAACTGGTATAGAAAGTAGGGTTGTACAGATTGGCATTGTGAACCAAAAATATGCATAAAAACTGTTTGTCCACCATGAGGTCACCAATTACTCTTGCTGTTTCAGTTCCAATATCCCAGGAGAATGGTCATTTATTATATACTTCGGAGTGAAAGACCGAGTTTTCCGAGAAAAGTGATATTTTCATTGCAGTGAACATAACAATTGATATTTCATTGCTGTGAACCCTGACACTTTGACGGAACTATTGTCATACAAGAGTTACCTTCCCTCAAATTGTCTGCCTTTATCGTAAGTGTCTGGCCCGTACACAAACTGTTGACTTCCTTTGTAAGTTAGTTCCACATTAACAAGGCAAAATAATGACAGATGGTCATTTATGGAGTTTATATCGCTTCATGCTGTTTGTTATTCTCTTGAAAATATTTCGCTATAAACTGTAAATCTCTCATTGAAGTAGTCAACCGTTTCGCAAAGCGCCATTTTTGTTACTTAACCAGCGTGCATTCTTTCGCTCCCAACAGCTGTCCCCTAGTTTTCAAGATTATTTTCTGTTAAAGTTGATTTTGTATACAATCATATCTATATGTATGCTGCAGATTTTTCGAGATCCTAAATGTTTTTATTACTTTTGTTTTTATTTTTAAGATTTTACAAACACGAAACTACATTTTAAGTCGCAAATACACGGGGTGGTGAACCGTCCCTGTGTGTTAGCATAGACCATATAATAGAGGTCTCTGGTGTTAGGTGGGGAGAATTTACGTTTCAAGGTTTTACATTTGTAATGAAATAATTTAATTTTCCGGTAGACAACTACACAAAAAGTATATAATAGATATGTTATTTCATGTGTTGAGTGAAATATCATGCTTCTCTCATTCCGTGACGAGGGAAAATGAAAATATCTCCTTTTCCCCCGTCACTCGATAAGAGAAACATGATATTTCAATCGACACATGAAATATCCTCTGTGTGTTCTTGACAGTTATCATTATAACCAACTCAGGTTGGATGGCATCACTAGACCTGCACAATTTATGTACCGACAAACCATATAGAGTACAGATACTGAACATTTTGAGCATGTTGGGGGAGTGAGTGAGTGACTTAACACTGTTGTGATCAGTATTTCAGTTGTATCATGGTGTGTCAGCATAATATGGGAGGAAAGCCCAAAATCAAGAAGGTCTCAAACAGTTACTACTTTGGTGACAAAGGGTATGCCACTGACAAACCAATGATCATAATCAGGGCAAATCAGGGAATCGAACTTATGATCATAGGATCATTCTGTGTTTAAGGGATGCAAGTCTTCACATAATTCCAGCACCTTGTATCTTGTACGACTTGGGCAACCGTGCCGACCTAAAGATTTGGAAATGCTACTGAACAGTAATCAAACAATTTCTTGCCAAGTATCTTTATTTTCATCAAACAGAAAGTCTGCAGACTGCACCTGGCCCACAACTGTACATGACACATTGTCAGTAAACATTCAATCACATGAGGTAATGTTAACAGGCGTGTTCAGGAAATGTGAGCATAACATTATTCTCTTTAACCAATCCAGTTATCTCCACTTGTTGCCATGATCACCAAGTCCTTCAGACTCCGTGTCTGTTGTCTGTCACTGTTATCATGACCACTCCATGTTTAGCTGAAGACATTATCAAAGTACCATACGGAACCAATCAATGGTGTTACTCACTAGGTGTTGTAAGACATTTCCCTCTGGAATCTATTGTATGCCTTCATTCGATACCCTAACTGTCATCTAGAACTAATCGTTGATGTCTTTACTTGATGTAAACATTATGTCCACTTCAACCAATCAATGTTGGCTTTACTGAGAAAACAAAATGTCCACAGTAACCAATCAGTGATTAGTTCACTTATGTTCACTTTGACCCATCAGAGTCTGGATTCATTTATTGTTCCTGACACTGACATTTTCATCTAATATTATGAGTTCCTCCATGACACTAATCACTGACATTTTCATCTAATATCATGAGTTCCCCCATGACACCAATCACTGACATCTTCATCCAATATAACGAGTTCCTCCATGACACCATCACTGACATCTTCATCCAATATAACGAGTTCCTCATGACACCATCACTGACATCTTCATCTAATATTATAAGTTCCTCCATGACACCAATCACTGACATCTTCATCAAATATAACGAGTTCCTCCATGACACCAATCACTGACATCTTCATCAAGTATAACGAGCTCCTCCATGACACCATCACTGACATCTTCATCCAATATAACGAGTTCCTCATGACACCATCACTGACATCTTCATCCTATATTATAAGTTCCTCCATGACACCATCACTGACATCTTCATCCAATATAACGAGTTCCTCATGACACCATCACTGACATCTTCATCGATATTATGAGTTCCTCCATGGCACCAATCACTGATATCTTCATCCAGTATAACGACTTCCTCCATAACACCATCACTGACATCTTCATCCAATATTATGAGTTCCTCCATGACACCAATCACTGACATCTTCATCCAATATTACGAGTTCCTCATGACACCAATCACTGACATCTTCATCCAGTATAACGAGTTCCTCCATGACACCATCACTGACATCTTCATCCAATATAACGAGTTCCTCATGACACCATCACTGACATCTTCATCTAATATTATGAGTTCCTCATGACACCATCACTGACATCTTCATCCAATATAACGAGTTCCTCCATGACACCATCACTGACATCTTCATCTAATATTATGAGTTCCTCATGACACCAATCACTGACATCTTCATCCAATATAACGAGTTCCTCCATGACACCATCACTGACATCTTCATCCAATATAACGAGCTCCTCATGACACCATCACTGACATCTTCATCTAATATTATGAGTTCTTCATGACACCATCACTGACATCTTCATCTAATATTATGAGTTCCTCAATGACACCATCACTGACATCTTCATCCAATATAACGAGTTCCTCATGACACCATTACTGACATCTTCATCTAATATTATGAGTTCCTCCATGACACCAATCACTTCATCTTATGTCATGAGTTCCACCATGACTGCAAACCTAGACCAGACTCGCTGACGGATCCCTGAAACAAACATCCCAGGAACCTTACTTGTCTCCTGTCACTTTGTAGCTATAACCATCTGGCTGGACATATCAAGGAGTAATGGTGATTTTAACTCTATTTATGTTCCAGTAAAAACATAAATACCAGTGTATCATATTAAAACATCAGAAAATGCAGTTGTACCACTTTATGAGTAAAGATCAAAGACGATATATAGATGAATACAGAGATATTCACTGAGTCTTATACATACAGAGGTTTATACAGAAACGCATGGATGTGTATACAGAGATGTGTTCCTATGTACAGTGATTGAGGGAGTGAGTGAGTTCAAATTTAACGTCACATCGGAAATATTTCAGCCATAGCATGACGAGACAAAATTATACATTAATAACAAATATATTTAGAGTGTATAAAATCCTGTCATTGAAGTTCAATAACTAGATTATCACAGATTTTATGTAAAACTAGTTTGAGAGTACAGTGAGTGCATTGGTATAGTGTCACATTATGTCATAGCATGTCAGCTTAATGTGTCTTAAATGTTCAGCACTTTTGTGAAACCCGCAAGCATGGTTATTGTGCTGAGAAACCTTGAACGATGTTGAGGGTAAATCTTGGATTCAAACTCATTATCATAATCCTGGCATGCCTAAAGGACGTAATTCGGAAAGGTAATTGCCTAGCTGCTTCAGGTGTTCACCGAAAATACATACAGAAACATGGAGTGACTCGGAGAGGGAGTAAATAATGCTTAATTTGCTTAATGCTGCATCAGCATCTTGTAGCCATTCATGACAAGATGCTATAAGACATATTCCAAACTAGACCACGCTTTGTTGCACCTTCATCCGGCCATGCTAGTCATATGTTACCCACCAGGAGAAAAGGGGCCTCATGGGTGCTTGGATACAATTGTGCTGTGACGTCATAAAGAAAGACGTTTGACGTCAATTTACTTCCGCATAAATCGCCATGTGTGCGGACTGTAAAAAATATCTTATTTTACTCTCGTTAGTTCGTAACATAATAAAAACAGTATATATTTTAGCAAACATCTCTACTTACAATTAATCAGACGTGATATATATCAACTGCAATCATCACAAAAACTTACATATAATGAAAATGGAATTTTGCAGAAAATTAGTCGAACTGTTTGATGCCTTGTATCTTTGTAATAAATATGAATTGTAGTTATGAATAGTACTTTTTGGGTCCTAAGATACTGACATTTTAAAATATAATAAGAAGTCAAAATGTGATTGTTCACTCATTAGGTCCCGTATCAGATGTCTGGTCACATATATGGTTCTTTGTTACTTTGTCCAGACATAGTTATCAAACTCAAGTTATAGATTTTCAAACAAGAAATAAACTAAAGAAGAATAAGAATTCGTCAATAATGCTCTGAAATTTATCATTTCAACCAAAGAAATCCTTCTCCTTTAGATAAACAGTGTACTGGTATTATACCGATCTGCTTAATAACTAAGTTCTCTTTAGACAGGTAACTCCTACTCATCTTTCAACAGAGTTCAACATAACCTGCATGCTGATAACAACCCATTCCAACGTTTCACATAAACAGGCAACCCTCACAATGATAGTAGAAATCAGCTACATGTTTATAATCGTCCACTGGCATCTTAATGACAGCAGCATAGCTATTAAGGTACATGATGATAGCTGCAAATCACTTCCATTGCAGACGATAAGCAGTTGTGAGCAGATTCGAGCGTTTCTGAAAATGTCAGCTCCAAGACATAACGGTATCATAACACGATGCGACTGTAAGCCAGAGGGGAAATTCTCACTGTGATAATTTCATTTAAGATAAGATAATCTAATTATGAAACTGTAATTATGAGAGAACAAACTCTACTGAAAGGGTTTTACTCAGAATTTACGACAAGATGTGAATCATAAAGATACCTAGTACGCATATTAGTAGCTTCATGAATCATTTCATATACCTTGGCGTGGTGTTAACAAGTGCCATTTAGATCTAATCTGCTTCCATAAACGTATATACAGGAAGTCACGGATATACTAATCAGTGACTACCCAATTGGTATAAAAAACAAGCATTGTCAGACAATTTATCTGATATCCTAGAACGACAATATGGCCAGGTTCTCTAAGTAAGAAATATTCATTCATAATTCAGTTTCACGCTTATTGTTTCTTTTGAAAAATGTTATATTAATACAATATCATAGAATTGGTTCAGTGTTATCAAAATACAGATTTTGCAAACAAGCACTAAAGTACATGTCCTTGAAAACACACAAACTATTATGCTCAAGGTCATATATCTTTGGGGGAAATATAATCATGAGGCTCTGGAGCCTACATGTACCTGACTGTTTTAATATTTGTAACATGATCAATTTAACTATTTAATAGACCATAAAAGTGTTAAAATATTATATTTGTGAACCTGATCACAGATATCACTGCTGTGCTAATTGCATGGTAATTATGTCATGCAATTAACTTAGTGGTTTAGATTTTGGGTGTGTTAATAAAGATCGCCAAAGAGATCTGTACAAATACGTCACATGCACTAGATCACATATTGCAGTTGTTACACAGCCTTGTTAGGTATTCTGGATAAATAGCATGTCTGTGTGTTTTTTAACATAATTCCACAGTATTTCAGCTAATTAAAATCATAATATGTCATTTTTCAGTTAGAGGGATGTCAAGAGGGATACCCGTGGGTAAAGGATCGACAAAACATGATCAGGCACAATCAGGGGTTAAAACTCAAGTATCATCTGGGTAGGTCATCTTGGTTTCAGATTGACAGAGTGAGGCACCTGGTTTTCAAGATGATGGCTTACCATCTGAACGTAGTGTGACTACGTGGCCTTACGAAAGATGATGGTGACTTATCGTAGGGCGATGTTTTGGTGTCAAGAGTAAAAGATTGTTTCATACTGTCAAAGAGTTGGGTGACATCTTTGTCTCAAGGGTCAAAGATTAGGGTGACTTACCGTCAGAGTGAAAGTTTTCTTGGCCTCAAGCGTCAAAGATGGTGACTTACCGTTAGAGAGTAAAGTGACTTCTTGACCCCAATTGTCAAACATGGTAACGAACCGTCAGAGAATAACGTGAACTCTCGATCTCAAGGGTCAAAGGTGGTAACTGACTGTCAGAGAGTAAGGTGACGTATTGGCCCCAGTGGTCAAATATGGTGTCTTACCGCCAGAGAGTAAGGTGACTACTTGTCCTCAAGGGTCAAAGATGGTGTCTTACCATCAGAGAGCAGGGTGGCTCCTTGGCCGCAAAGGTCAAAGATGGTGACTTACTGTCAGAGGGTAAGGTGGTTTCTTGGCGTCTGGGTCAACAATGGTGAAGTCAGAGGCTTGAGGGTTCAGCACCACCATCAGGACCTGCCGCAGTTGTGTCCACAAAGATCTCATCCAAAACCCGGAACCTGGTGAAACAGTTACTATTGGATGCCACAGCTAATTAGCATTTGTGAACCTTTACAGATTACTGAAGCTATGCTATAGTATTAAGTACACACAATAAAGGGCTCACAGTTTATACCTACTTAGGGAATATAAAGGTGAGGGATACTGAGCTATCACTTACCCCTGTACTCTCCACAATTGTGCATTCTGATCCCTTGACTTAAAAAAATATGCTTGTCGTGTCGGAATGATTTAGCTTTATACGTTATCAATACATATCAACTGAAGTAATAATTGACAAAACATCATCATCATCCAGTGACCATTGACCAAGTTGGTTGGTTTTTTAAGTCCATCTGTCTTATATTAAGGACCATTTATGACCCAAATTAGGTCAGAAACCATTATTCTTTGTTCACAATATCATCCAGAAACCTAACATGATGACAGCTGCTGTGTTACTCAATAATATCTACTGGTATATGACTAATTGAGCTGAAGAAAGTGAATTGTCGCTTGTTGTCCTGAATGCAGTTGATGGTATATCTAGGTTACTTTGAGCATAAAGAGTGATTCATGAGAAATGTATGACTGTAAAAATGCATTGTTCATGAATTGATGCTGAAGTGTGCACATGTGTATTAATGGAAGATGATAGAGAACAAGTAATAACAAAAAACTTCCAATAGCTAATTTTAGGAAAAGATTGTCCCCTTTGCCAACATTAATACATTAAAACCACTGAGCAAGTTTGACATTTATATTTAAAGGGACTTCAAAGACAAAATGATTTTTGCAACATCATCAACAACTGTCAAAGCTGAGTGCCAATCACACTGAAGAAAAAACTGAAATTACTTCATTCAAGTTCAAACCTACATGTACATATATAGTTATATAGTTTCTGGGGAGGGATAATTTAACCTTTTTAAATACTATCACTTTGTTATTTGTTTAAACAACAATCAAACCTTCAGTTATCATGTCTTGAACATGAT